AACCTAATGCGAATTTGGGCCGTTCACAGCCGTGGTTTGACAGCGAATGTTTAGAAAGTCGAAAATTAATGAAAAATAAATTTAAAAAGTGCGCAAATAATTTTAGTCGGACAGTTTGTAAATCGTTTTCTCATTGCCCTTACGAATGTTCGCAATTGTTAAACTGTCCGCGTCACCAATAACAACTCGAATATCAACCCCAGTTGATGTTGATTCAGCTCCCAAGTCGGCTTCCATCGCCTTGGTACTTCCTTCGAAATTGTGACGGCAATTGTGATCATCTTTTTTTTGACGAAGTGCGCATAGCTTGTATTTACGGTTTCTTGTCCCAAAATCTAACATTTTACAGCTTAAGAAACCTGTAATACAACAGTAATCGTTCAATCTGTTATAACTTCTTCCGTTGCAGCGCTTAATCCAATTCATATCGTATAGATATTAACAATATTCCCTAATGTCGAATCAAATTGTTTTGGCGTATTTTTCAAAATTTCTTAGAAAAGATAAATAACTTTAGCGATTTTAACCGGACTGTAAAAATACAAATTTTCAAATTTATATTTTAAGGATTTATATAATTTAATAAAACAACATTTAATAGTGTCTCTAAGTTCTCCAAATTTAGGAAAAACTCACCTATATCGTTGTTGTCCTGTCAGAAGGATTGGACGATCTATCATTAAAGATATTGCGCATATTATTTGCAATATTTTTAAATAACGAATATTTACTTTAATGTGCAATGTTTTATTTTGTTCATAAACAAACAAAATTTGGATAACAGTTTTCAAATATAAAATATATCAAAGATAGATTCACTAATAACCTCTTTTGCCAATAATCTAAAATTATTTTCTTAAGAATATTTATAATTAGCTGCAATAGTATTTGCAATTAAGTCAATAAAACTTTTTGTGAAGATCCTAAATTAATTGCATTTTCTGATCAAAATATAACAATTTTTTATTCAAAACACGAAAGTAAACATCAAATTACATTAAAACCAAAAAGAAGGAGATCTGTTAAATCTCTATAATGATAAACTTTATTCATTCAGTTAAAGCTATCTCTATATGTGTTAATTAATTATAAGTTTTATTAGCCTTGAAACAAAATCGCCTATTTTTAATTATACTATTAGATAAATTATCATTGACATAAACTATTAAATTAAAATGTAAGGCATTGTCGGCAGTGGCGGGACAGCTGGTATAATGAGACACTGCGATATTTCAAACAGCTGAGTTGACAGTGCTGTTTCTTCTTGTGTAAAAGTAAAGTTTTATTCTGTTAAAGCTTTTTTATATATGATACACATTTTCTGGGCATAAAATCTGGCAATTTGTTTTAACTACAAATGCTTTAATTTATTAGTGTGTAAGATTCCTTCGAAATTTCTAGAGCATTATACATAATAGTGCGATAGACACAATTGTAGATCGTTATTATCGTAAATCACTGTTTCGGCAATGGCGGGACACTTGTTGGCAGTGTCCAGACACTGCTTCTTTACATCTGATAAAATAGTACAATTCTAAATGACTTTGGTATAATTTTTTTAATTTTTGTCGGTAATATTTTCCATAACAATAACCTAATCCAAAAATTGAGGATGTATTTTCAAATAAAATCTGTAATGATGAAAATAATAATTTTATCTTATTTTTTAGGTAGTAAAAAACGAAAACAATTAAAAAGGGACACAGAGGAACCCAAATACCTCGAATTTGAAAGCCGTAAAAGACTGTAATTAATTGAGAGAATAATAATCAACATACAAATAAATTCATTTATTTTATAATATGTATGAGTACTATTCGACGAGTGTTTATACTCGAAGCTCAACGCTTACTAAAATTTTCGCAAGCAAGGAAATCTCATAAAGCCGATGATTAAAAAAACACTTTAGAAAGCGAGAAATATATCTTATCTGTGTCGAAATGGAAAACATTTACAAAAATAAAAATTAATTCATAAATAGAGAATAAAATAAATGATCTAATTTAGGTAAATTTTAAACATATATAAAAATCAGTCAGAGAAGCAGGCGCAATGCGCCTACATCATAGGGTTTCGTGGCCTAAAATGACAAAAAAAAAAATAATAATTTATTTAGAAATTTTTTTGTACTTAAGATTGAAATTTTTTTTTATTATCATAGTATCGGTTGCCATGGCAACGGTTGTAATGGCAACCATTACTGTATCAACGGTTGCAACGGCAACGTTTGTTATGTCAACCATTAATATAGCAACGGTTACCATGGCAATGGTTGTTATGTTGTCTTAAGACTTAAGACTTATAAGACATAAGACTTAAGACATAGGACATAAGACTTAAGACTTAGGACTTAGGACTTAAGACCTTCTTATACCGAAGTTAAGTCTTTAGTCTTAGGACTTAAGACCTTCTTATACTGAAGTTACGTCTTAAGTCATAGGAGTTAAGACCTTCCTATACCAAAGTCTTGCTATAAGACTTAAGACTTAAACCTTATTACATAAGACTTAAGACGTAAAAACTACGGACGGACACCGAAGTCTCGCTATAAGGGTTTTGGCCCTTGGCCACGAAACCCTAAAAATAGGGTTAAAGCATGAGTTATAATACTGATAGACCGTGTTTTTAGTTTCTGGTACGAGGTCGTATTACCGAATTGAAATACTTTATTTTAACCCAAAAACTAAGGGTTCAAGCAAAAAATTGCGGTTCTGAGTTAAATCATCTCAAAGTGCTAACTTGATTGGACATAAATAGAGTAGAACGGGGTGAAATAGCCAAGGTGCAAAAAAGCCATTTGACTTTTTTTAAAACTATTAAACCGATTTATCAGCTATTTAGAATATAAATACTATCAGTTAATACGCAATTTTTGATACTAGTTTGGATGTTGTACCTATATTAATATAATTTTTATTGTAATTTTAATTTTTGAGTTACTCTGCGTATAATATTTCGATGAACTTTTCAAACATATTACAACCTGTTTAAGTGAACGGGTTATAAAAGTAAATGTTTGTACTATAACGGGTGTCTTACTATTGTTATAATTATAACAATAGTAAGACACCCGTTATTCGAGAAATTACTATTAATTTGATTACTCTAAATGAGGTTATTTTATTTCAAGAATTTATTTTTGTTTACTTCAGGATCAACTAATTAAATAAAACACACGTTACTTTGTTGTTTGAATTTATGCCCGAACGCCAGAGATATTTTATGGAAAAATATTCAAACCTAATATTTTAATTAATTTTATGCTAGCTCAATCTTTTCAAGGAGAGCGCGGGGTAAGAGAAATTACCAGTTAATGTTTAAATTTTGATTTAATAATAATAAATTACAGGTCCAGACGGGACCTGTTCAAATTACAGAAATGTCGTGAAACAAAGAAAATTGACAGATGTTATTTTAGATCGATTATCCGTCAGGAGACAACACATTAATTCTTTCGAGACTCACCGGAGATGCGCCGACGCCCCCGCATTGTTCCTCGGCTCATCCTTGGGAAGTAGACACAACTTATTTTTAATTTAATTTTATATAAAAACGGTCTACTGCGACCTGTCACAATAAGACGCCAAAATGAGAATGAATTAAATGGCCGACGGGGACGCCGAAGCAGACGCGCATCTCGGGTTCGTGGTGAGTCTCACGCGCACTCTTTACAAGATTTTCATATGGTAATCGATGCGCGACCGTAAGTAATTCAGGTCATTTATCGACCGTCGAAAAAGAGTTCATGAAAGTTCGTTTAGTCTCCGCGAGGGGCACTGCGCGACGACGTCCGGTTCGCAAGATGGCTGCAGCCAGTGTTTTGACAGCTGATGTCCTCGTCGATGGACCTTCGCCCTTTTGCCACTTCGTATGACCCGTAATGATTACAAGTAAACACATTACTTGTTGGAATACGAAGCAATCTCTCAGCAGTGATCCCGAAGATTGGAAATCCGGAACTCGCGATGACAGTGGACATGAAATGATAAACCGAGTTTCACATTCTTATGTTTACAATACTAGTGTTGACCAGCGATCTGACGGTTTGCTAAATTACAGGTTTAAATAACATAATTTAAGAGAAACTAAATTTTAATAGTGACAAATTCAAAGTAAGTTTTCTCACAAGGAGAAAATAATTGTTGTTTCTCAGTTTGACGTGAATAAGAAAATTAAAAGTTGATTATTGACAATGAATATTAATTTGTACGCGGCAAATAAAATGCCGCGTTACAGTACATATGGAGAAAACTATACTCAGAACATATACAATGTTAATTTTTGGAATTTGAACTAAATTTAAAATTTATTTTAGCTTTTAGAAAAACTGGTCTTAGGGGTGAAAAAGACAGGGGCAAAAATCCATTGAATATTATGTGTAATTCATTTGTTTTCTACTTAAACTAACCTTCTAATTTTACAAAATTGTCGCGTGTTTACTAAATAAAATTAATTAAACACGACGAGAAAATAGTATAAAGTGCGTTAAAAAATAAAGAACGAAAGAACGGTTGCAACAAAATATGACATATGTTGTGAAATTGAAGGAGTACTTTAAATAAAGGTACAAAAACTTGGCAGTGTAAATAGAAAACAGGTAAACTTAACATAATATTCAATTTTCCTTGATAAAAGCTCTTTAAAATTTATTAAAATATTTGAAAAATAAGATTATTTGTCATGTAAATAAAGGAAAACTATAAAAATACCAAAATTAATAACATATTTTAATAAAATCGCGAGGTGGCTTTTTCCCCCCACCAGGTGGTACAAAAAAGCCACTTGCGGAGCTTTCGTAAAACTCTTATAACTTAGTCCTTTCATGGGATAAAAAATATTTCCGTGAAGAATATTCAAGCTTAATAACTAAACTTTCAATGCCAATTGGAAATTTAAGAAAAAAATTTTAAATTCAGATTTTATAAATTAAAATGTAAAAATGTGACTATTTTACTCTGTTCTACTCTATTGAAGGATTTTTAAAGGAAAGAGAAATTAAATCTAAATTAACATATTTTTTTATTATCATGGAAAAATTACTTCACATTTTTAACAAAACTTGTGATAATTTATACATTTGTTAACTGAAGTTGATGAGTTCACATCACCTTAATGTTCTCCTGAAATCAAAACAAATTTTATAGTTATCCGAAAAATTGCAGAAGATATATTCAGTATTCACTCACTTCTAAGCTGCTTACGTATTTTTCAGATATTTTTACCTTTCAAATATTTTGATATTTCCGTATAAATTATGGTATTGAATGCAGCGTCTAATGATTTCTTTGTAATTCTATCGTTTTTTAATACATCCTTCAAAAATGCTGTAAACAGAAATTTGTTTAATATACACAACCGCAGAAAATTGTCAGTACTATTGCAAGCACTCGGCTTAAAAAAGCTAGTTTTTAAAGCATACTTTTTTTAGTGAAAACAAATGTTAAGAATTAAACCATTGGATTTTTGGAAATTCTGAGAAAATTTTTTAAAATGTTTTTTATCTTAAATCAAAGTTGAGTTTTAAGTGATGACATCTATTTATTTAAAGTTTCAATTATATATCATAAAAGTTAAGATGTAATAGCTTTCGAATGTTACATTTTTTAACTGTCTAAAATTTGTTTTTACTGAAAATCGTGATATAAAGGATTGCTGTTTTTGAGCCGTGCGTGTACAACCGCACCTAAAATGTTTAAAGGTTATGTATGAAATGTTATAAATTAGGCCAAGAGACGAAATTATACCTTCAACTTATTCAAATACAAAAAATAATAATTCATGTTCTAACATATTTTATTTAGTGTACAGCGGAACATAGATAAAAGTAAGAAGTTAACAAATTAAGAAACAAAAAGTAGACAACTGTCTAGTCAGTTAGCTAACTGAGGGATTTACTCATGCCAATAGACGAATACAGGCAAATATTAAGTTGCTTTGTCTTTTTGGCGCCGGTTAGCTAACCGTCTAGACGCTTAGCTAAATGGTAGATTCTTCTACTTGGTTACGATATATGTGACCGCGTCTGAGAAAAGGAACCTTATGACCAAAAAAATCAATTTTAGATTTAAATGTTTTTTTACACTTTAAGTCCTTAAAATGGAGGTCATGAGGTATCTTTTCTCAAACGCGGTCACATATATAGAACGCTCTATATAAGGAAGGACAGACATAGTAGAAGCAATGGTCAATACGGCTGTCAAATCCAAAATTCCGGACAGTAAAAATATTTTTATGACTTAAAAACTAAAACCTGACAAGTGCGAGTTGAACTTGTAGTAAATCTGAGGGTTCCGTAAATGTAGCAAACTCAAATCGTTCTCATTCAATTTATCCTGAAGTCTAGATATAAAAAAACTAATAGAAAACTGCAGTTCACTAGGTTAAGCACGTTTCTAAGGAAAGGTTTTTGGGTTTAAAAAAATGACCATGAATTTTGCACCTACTGTCCTTAAATATGACCCTAACAGTGTTAAAAAATGCCCTAAACAAAAAATCGATCGGGGTCAAAACAAAATAATTGAATTTTTGTTTCAAAGTAACAGTAAGCATTTTGTTCAGTTTTAGAACGCTAAAATGTCGAATTCTAAAATTAGACATTTTAATCGTCTAGTTCGAATGTCGAATTTTTAGTTGGATATCATGGAGGATCCATGCACAGGAATCAATGTAAAGAAGTTCTACAGAAAACAAGCAACCTTTCTGAAGTTTTGCCAAGACATTTATAAAAGTTTGCAAATGCCTTGAAGCTTTTTAATGATGTAAGATTCTCATGTTATAGAAAAACCTACTGCTTTCTTTTGAATTAGATATCAAATCTTTTCAAAAGGCCTACTTGAATCTTTATATTGTAACAGTGTCAAAATTGAAGACACTTTTTAAGTCCTCGACCTTGACGTGGACGTGAAGCCCCCTTTTTATATATATATTTTCCTTTGGATAAAATGTTATTTTTTAGAAGGGGTAAAATCAATCTATGTAATTTTGATGAACACTTACTGTTAAAATTATTATTATTTTCATAAAAAAATTTATCTTAAAAGGATCCGACAGTATTTCCGAAAGTAAGAAAGAACTGATTACTGCCGTATTGTTTTTATTTAAGCCTATTAGATGCGACGAAAGTAGCGCAACCAAACCAATAAGGACTCTCAGAAGGAGCGAGCAGGGTTCAGGAAGCAGTCTTGAGGACAAATATTAAATAATGCAGCCAAAAGTTCTATCACAAGAACTATTATTATTAAACAAAAATTTGTTTTATTGTTTATGTTTATAAAATTAATTTTATTGTGTTATTGCAATGCTCCAGGCTCATTACGTGATAACTTAGTGTCACTAGTCCAAGATTAGCTGTTTTCCTTAAATTAATATTAGGAATAATATTAAGTCGCGCCTGCAAGGCCGCAACCCATTAGTCGTTACTCGTAGATGTATTAATCTACATTTATCGACAGGGTGGCTGTTGAGTAAGAGCCGCGTCTAATAGGCGAAAAGAACGAGCAGCCGAGGGGCGCTTGTTCTTCACGTTTTGCACGTCAAAGGCGACGGACTTATTTTTAAAGAAAGATTCTTTTGTTTTTGTTTTGTTTTAATTTGAGGCATTGGCCGGAAAGTAAAAGGAAAAATTATTAAGGAGGAATATTTGAATATTTAGTTATGGCAATAAGTCAGAGCCTTGATTGTTAAAAACTAAAAAATTAAAAAGAAATTCATTTGTTTTTATGCTCTCGCATCCATGAGGGAATTTCGAGATTTTGTTTATTTTATGTAATTTCTAAACTTTTTCTAAATGATAATAAATGTGATTCTGTGTTAATTTAAAAATATATATGTTTGTATTTATTTATTAATGGTCACCACTCGAATTCACGTCCAGCCGGAATATAAATTATATTTTCTGATTTCACTAATCAAGATTTAAATCGCGTAAATTTTATAAATATGGCCATTAATTATTTGTATATATATGTTATACAAATAATTATTAAATTGCCAGGCGCTCGTAAATCGCGAGCAGCCTTTATAATTTGTCAATTTGTTTGAGGTTAACCCGAGACTTCGATTTCCAAAAAGGAGTTATTTTCATTTCTAATTAGATATAAGAATTGACAAGCTATAAATGGCGCCCAACAAAAATGTGGTGACTATCGGGTAAACGAATAATTAAGCACAGAATAGCATTTCACAGAAAAAGAAAAAATATGATCATTGCATTTTATTACTCTATCAATGTTTTCTTAACTTTTATGTTCTCTCTTTTTCTCCTAACCTTACTTTCCATCAGTGTAAAACTTTAAACTAAATGCAGCATAATCATGCGCATTTTCGCTTTTAATTGACAAGCCCTGTTTAAAAATCTAAAACGCCCTATACGTCATTACTTAACATAAAATATAGCATTCTTATAATACATATTTAATATACAAATGACTCGCGCATTGCCTCAATTAATGCAAAATTTTCTTTTCTACAAAACATGTGCTTAGAGACGCCACGTATGTGTTAGACAGAGATCGGTCCTCTCCGTCAAACCAATACACCTTTGTCGCGTTCCCCTCGTATAAAGCAACAAGTATTCCGCGCACGTGCGCTAAAGGAGAAAGTTTCATTTCTTTCCCCTACACTACATAGAAAGAAATTCTTGCTCTCTCTCGCACTACAGTAGATGCTTGATGAGAAAGGCAAGAAACAGCTGCAGCCATATTGCCGTTACCATCTCCACACAGCCACTCGCGCAACGCAGTAGTCGCTTTAGACGAAGTACACGACGTTCCAGAGTATCCGACATTTTGAATCGCTCTCCCCTCTCACACTGCGCTCCTCTCCTCACACACATGTTACTGTGGCCGTTTTCAGCATGGTCATGGATCGCGATGGATCGTGATCCAGATCACTTTTCCTATGCTGTGATTGGTTACTTTGTGATCCGGATCGCGATCCATGACCATGCCGAAAACAGCCTGTATTAGTCCCACTATTAGAAGTATATATAGATATACTCCTCATAGAGACAATTTAAATATACCAAAATACAGAAAATAAGTCCAAAAATAAAGTCATAATAATTAGACAATAATTCGTGAAGCATATTGCTAATAATTTTAACTTAATTTAATAGCAATAATCAATAAAATATTTTAAATAAATACTATTGATTATAAAAACGATGACAGTTGAAATTTAATTTTCTTTCAATTGCCGAGTTAACAATAAAAATAAAGAAAAATACACTTCTTTTTCTTTAATAATTCTTTTATTAAATATTAAAAGAGAATACTTTTCTATAAATAATAGCAGTTTTTTTAAAATTAATTAACGCTACGTTAAATTTATATAAAGAAAAGAAGTTACAACAGTCGGAGTAAGATGAGAAAAATTAAATAAAGTTCTTAATTACTTTTTCTAATTGACTTAATTGATTGATTTAAATAAATGATTGGATAAATTAATTTAAGTAATTGATTTAGATTTTGAATAAATCTTTAAAGTTATTGATAATAAAATTTAAATTAATACTTATTTTATCTGTAAAATTAATGCAATTTAAATACATCAAATTTTAAAACTCAATGAATTGAAAAATGATTGATTCAATGATTAATTGAAATAATAAATTTGAATAGTTAATCTGAATAATTAATTTGGATTTAAATAAATCTTTTAAATCTTAAATAATAAAATTTAAATTCAGATTTATTTTGTTTGTGAAATGAGAATTTTTTTAGAACTTTAAAATAAAATTCTTCTTTTTCTCTTTCGCATTTTACTGTGACGGTGACACTTCTTATCTTCTCAAACATTGCTTCTAAACAATAAAAATTTTTTATTTACAATATATTGAAACATAATTCATAAAATTAGATATTTTAATTTTTCTTTCTGTTTAATAAAATAGAAGCAATGCCCACTACAGAAGAAAAAATTAATTGGCTATTCTCACTTAGTGAAACTGATTTGCGTAGACTCGCTATCGAGTTCTACGTTAATCCAACTGGTACGACTCCAATTGTGAGAGAAAGACTCCTACGGTTCTTACAAAGACGAGACGGCTTTGACACAATCCCGTGGAATAATCAAGAAGATAGCTACTATCCGGAAATCCCTGATGTTTTAGATGACCAATCATCTGATTTTGAGCTTCCTCTAAATACAAAAGCACAAAATACTACAACACATCAAAAAAGCAACACACACGTTGTAGTAACAACAATTACTACAACAACCACTGCTACAGCGGGTACATCTGGAAATGTCACGTCCACGTATCCTTTTCTTCCGATGGTGTCTTCAACCTTTATAAATCCTTCTCGATTTCCTCCACCTATCT